ACAACATTTGCATATTTACCTTTTATTCGTTCGTATATCGTTCGCATATATTCTTTGATCCCAGATTTTCTTCTTTATATATTTACCAAGCACTGCTAATTTGTCCTTGTAGTTTAAAATTTTGAGCGCGATGGTTCTGCATTTTTTGATTGTATCATCTTTATCATTTTTTCCAACTCTATGATCACGTTCAATAATGAATTCACCTTGAAGATCAAGTTTTGATTTTATTAATTCACAAACTTTACTTTCACAATCGTCCCAACTTTCATTAACTGGTTCTTCTATACCGGATATCCTTAAATTATTTCTCCTGCTTCGATCTTCGATCTCAGCCAATTTGTCTCTCATATTAACGGTTAAACTATTTTCTAGGTTTCTATCTGGTTTTGCGCGATCAGCCTTCAATCCCTCTTGTTAAATTATTACTTTGTCGTATCTTTCGCTAATAAATTCGACAGCTTTTTTCAATTCGCCTACTTCAGTTTTAAGAATTTTATTGCCATCATTCAAATTATCAATATGTTTTTCCAATCTTTCAATTTTTTCATTAAATAATTTAATAGTTGTGTTCTCGTGATTATCTAGTAATTCTTTTAATTGTAAAGTCGAAAATTTTTTTGCCATTTTTATTTTGTAATTAGAAACACGTCCGTTCGCGGCAAAGTGTAAATGTAAATGATTTGATGTCTTAAAAGCTTTACTTAAATCAATAAAAAGACCTAGGGTATACTTGCCTTCAACAAACGATTTAAATACGTCCTGAACGAGGTAAATGATTGCATGATCGGCGGAAAGGCCAGATTTGAATCTAAGTTGTTTATGGTTAAGAATATTATTTACATTTATAAAAGCCTATTATACATTTCTCACTCTAATATTTTAGAAAAACAAGTTAGAATTGAGATTGGACAATAATTTGCAACTTCAGAAAGATCGCCTGATATTAAAATTGGAATAATTTTTGAGATTTTTAGGTTTTATGGAAAAACACCATGTTTTGAAGATTAATTTAAAATATGTAAAAATGGAATTGTAATGTGTTTTATTGATTTAATAACAGCATTACTACTTATAGCATTGAAACCTACGCTTTTATTGGGCTTTAAAAAAGAGATTGCTTCTAATAATTCTTTTCCGTAAATTCAGGGTAGACATAAGACAAATGTTATTTGAGGTAAAAATTAAAGTGTATTAAAGAAGTTACATTAAACTACAACTCTTTATTACAAATGAAAAAAAAAAGCGATAGCAAAAGTTTACTTATTTGCGATGTGTTTATTTTCTTTGTTATTCTTGTAGCTAATTCATATACGGTTTCTCATTAATCAAGGCAGGATCATCGTACAGTACATTGCAGTTACAAAGTACTGTACGTAGCAATTCATTTTTTTAAATATTCTCAATAACAATACACCAAGAAAATTTTTTAATGGCGACTCAAAATAAATTAACGTGAATATCATTAATTTTTATCATAGTAATTATCAAGTAATTTTTGGGTTCAATCTATACTACAATTTCAAGGATGTTAAATTAAGATTAAGTAATTTATGAGTAATTGGTTTAATTTAATAACTGGTAATAGTAAATTACTGGGTAATTAAATTATTTATTATTAAATTAAGGTAATTAATTGCTCTGTTTAACAAAATAGGTTATTAATTAAATCGGATTGCCGCATTTCTTTTCAATAAGTGTCAACAAATTTCATCAGCTTTTCAATAAGTGTCAACAAATTTCATGACAACAAGTTATATAATTCATTTTGAAACGCGGATCATAGCGACTTCTTAGTTAATGCTTTTGATAACGTTGTACTTTGGTCAGAAATATGGCAACTACATATTTCTTACAGCAAGTGTTTTGTTCTTAGCATTGCGCCTGCTTTATTGAGAAATAAAGCTAGTAAAAGAGTATACCTTATTATTAAAACGCATTAATTCTAGCGATCCTAATATTTTAGTAAGAGCCTTCACTATATATTAGGGCTATATTAGAATATTGTTCCCGAGTTTAGTTGTTATATCATATTGAACTAATAAAGGGGTTGAGAACGAGTAAAAATGTTTCGCAAAAAAAATCCTGCATTTAAGCAATTTTGCGTACAAAATTGACTTTAGTTGCTTAGTTCGGAGTCGCTCGAGATAAGGCAATTAAAACACGATTCATCAATATGCTTAAAAATTCTATATAACTTGGTCTTAATTGATAAACCTTTATTTTTTTTTTATAGGAAAAAAGAACAACATGCAAGGACATAAATTTAAAATACGCAAACAATGATAAAGATTAGATATTTTTAAACATAGTTTCTCTTAGTAAATTGTGAACATTTTGAATCTGTCTGTTGCTCAAGAGTACCTAACTCACTCAATTTTGAAAAGTAATGTTGGCGTTGAATGCATATCTTATCGTTTGTTCTTATATAAACTATTTATTTGATATCGAACGCTGTTACTACTTACTTTGTTTTGGGAAACGCTTTTTATAAAATAATTTCAAAAATAGCACATGGTATAAAAATGCAATATAATAAATATTTCTTTAAAAGCAATTATAAGCAAATAAAGTATGATATCCTTAATATGTATTTCTTACAAAACTATATAAGTTTTTTAATACTTTATTCATTTTTCAAATCAATTTTTCTAGAGAGTATGTTTATCATCCTAATAATAAATACCACATGGTGACTACTTATAAAACGAATAAACTTTTTACGCGTGTTTCACTTGAAGAGATAAGATGTGCTTTATTTTGGCGTAAGTCTTCTATTTTTTCTTTCTCCTGCGTTATAAGTATTTTGCTATCAACTTTTTCACTCCAATATATCTCATCTCTATTTATATATTTCATCAACTATATCTCATACTTCTATTTCTTAGTTTTGGTATTTACTTTACTTTTTAATAATATTTTTTTAGTACTTTCGCTACTTTTCTACTTTTACTATTATATATTCACGTACTTTTGAGTAATTTAAATATAGTATTTTAGTCGCGGGGTAAAGCATAAGTGGCGATGACGTTTGTCTGACGGGATAAACTAGTTATAAATGCTGATCCTCATCGAAACGCCAGTAATAATAGACGCGACTCTGAGGAGATGTTTATTACTTATCACTACACTAATTATGTTTACACATTAGCATTAATTTTTTTTTTTCCATTATTAGTCCTTTCATTGTTGTTAGCATATTTTTAATTTGTTGAATGGTTTTTTGTTTTACAAATTGTTGACTGGTTATGTATTTCTTGTATATTTTAGTTCATATTGGTATTTATAAAACAATTTTTTTATTTTATATATATATATATATATATATATATATATATATATATATATATATATATATATATATATATATTTTATTATTGTTTGTTTTTATTTTTTATTTTTTTTTTTTTATTTTTTTTATTTTTATTGTTATTATGGTTGAGTACTGTTTTGGTTGTATAGCTTGTCTTACTTATTTTTAAATATTCCTCTATTAATCTTTATTTTTGTCTTGACAACTGTCAAAATATGCTTTGTCTAATAAATAATTCTCCTTTATTCTAATGTACTTCATTTCTTCCCTCAGGCGTTCACTGCTCGTGTGTGACCATTCGGCGAATTTTAAATATGCCAAAGTTTTTAAATACTTTCGCTACTTTTCTACTTTTACTATTATATATTCCTTACGTGCTTTTGAGTAATTTAAATATAGTATTTTATTTCTTAATATTTACTCGTATATACATAATTATATACCTCTATTCTATGTTATTGTTGTAAACATTTATTTAATTAACGATTTTATTTTTTCTTAAGTTCAGTGTTATTATCTTAAAGAGTTTTTTTAAAGTTTCAGCAACTTATTATTTTTTATTTTATTATACTCAAGTCGTTTTCTAAACTCTGAAGCTAACTTTCTATCGTTTTCTAATCTTTTTGTTTATTTCATTTAGATAAATAAGTCATTGTTTGTATAGAGAAAGTATTGCATTTATTGTATTTTAAAAAATAAAAATAAAAAATAAAAAAAAGTTATTTATGAAAAGTTTATATAGATTATATGAAATTTATATTCGTAATAAAAATACAAATATATTATTATATGTCTATATATATACATATACACATATATATATCAATATACATATAACTTAAACATTATATAAACTATATATATTGTTGTTTAAACATATTCACGCTCAATGCCTCCAAAAGCCGACATTTCTGAGTTGAATACCAAGTACGAGACGCTTCTATAGCAAGTAGAAGCGTTATCAAAAACAGTTGTTGAACAAACATCGACGATTCTCGCCCTCACAAAGCGAATCCAACAACTTGAGGAAAAGCCCATTGCTTCCTTAACTACAACGGAAGCATGGAACGTTGTGGTCGGAAAAAAAATGAGAACAAAATAAAAAAGCTTCTAACCAACGTTAAAATTAAATCGGACAATATAATAAAATGTTTTCGCTTACGGTCAAAAGATCCGAATAAACCTCCACCTATTATAGTTGACACGACTGATACTGTCACCAGAAATAATATTGTTAAATCAGCCCGGCGTAAATTTGAAGGCATCTATGTTAATCCAGATCTGACAGAAGCACAAAGAAGACAAGATAGACAATTACGAGACGAGTTGAAAAAAAAAACGAGCCTCTTAATTTAAAAAACAATTGGGCAAATGCAAGTCATTAGTACGTTATTCGTAATAATGCTGTAGTTAAAGTAGACAAATAGCAATCAACAGTACGTAATTTAAAACTACATAATGACAATTTAAATATAAACGAAATTTCTTTAGAGCGTAAGTCATTTTCAACTATAAGTCTACGACAACAGTCAGCTTTCCATAAAATACCATGCTGTTATACCAATGCTACATCCCTTAACAATAAATTGCCAGAGTTTCTAGCATCAATTAGACATACAACCCTAAAATAATCTTCGTTACAGAAACTTGGTGGCATGAATCATCGATAACTAACATTGAAAACTATATGTTATTCAGAAAAGATCGCGTTTCCAGTCGAGGAAGTGGGGTGGCTATTTATGTCGACACTTCATTAAAACCTAATGAAGTAAGCGATATTGTTTTATTAGATTCCCCTGAACAAATTTGGTGCGAAAAATCGTACGGTTCCGAACACATCCTTCTGGGTTGCATATACAGGCCACACATGCTAGATCCACTCGAGAATATCGAAGCGTCCATTATTAAAGCAAATGAACTTCTGTCTAAAATATACAGCGGCTTGTTGATTTGTGGAGACTTTAATTTGCCAGGAATTAACTGGGGTTCGAGCAGTATCCCAACTATCAGCAACACAGATACCCTTTCAAGTAATTTTATTGACATCCTTGCCGAGTCGTTTTTGATACAATTTGTTACTAAGCCCACTTTTCAACTTGATGAAATAACATCGAACAACACTCTTGGTCTAATTATAGCCGAAAATGAAAATCGGGTCCTCGATATTATTCAGCATGCACCTTTAACGTCTCTGAAGAAATCTCACCACGTCCTTCAATGGGATTACGTTGTTAAAAGCGCTGCAGTTGTAGGAAAACACATTAAAAAACGCATTTATCATAAAAGTAACTTTGTAAAGATATCCGAATATTTTAACAATATCAACTGGCAGATGGAATTCAATGGACGCAATACTGATGACTGTTATAACATTTTTCTGAACCACTACGAGGCTGCATGCAAAACTTCTGTCCGAGTGACTAAATCAAAATGGATTTGTCGTATAAGCGAATGGATGAATGACGACATCAAGAATAAAAATAAACTATGGTTTCGATGTAGAGCGAATGGATATAAAAATCTTAAACTAGTTAACGAATACAAAGTGTGTAATATTCAATTGAAGAAGCTCATAAATAAAGGTCGTTGTGAGTTTGAACTTGATTTAGCGATAAAATCGAAGCACAACCCAAAGATCCTGTTCAAGTATGTTAATAGCAAACAAAATGTTAGAACTACAATAACAGCCTTAAAAAGAATCAATGGCGACACCATCACAAATCCAATAGAAATTGTAAATCGGCTGAGCAATCATTTTCAAAGTGTTTTCAACAAAAATGAAGACGATGAACTGCCATATTTTATTAAACGAACTGAAGCCATCTGCAAATACTCGCAAATAACGCAAGATCTGGTTAAAAACAAGCTGAGCGATTTATCAGTTGATAAAACCGTTGGTTTGGATGGTGTAAACGCATATGTACTGAAGAATTGTTCTAACAGCTTCTCAATACCTTTATGCACAATTTTTCAGAAATCGCTAGATAGTGGGTGTTGTCCTGAAGTATGGAAAAAAGCTAATGTAACACCACTGTTTAAAAATGGAAGTAGACTCAACCCAGGCAATTACCGGCCTATATCCTTAACATCAGTTGTATGTAAAGTGATGGAGAAAATATTACGTGACAGTATGGTCAATCATTTAGTCAAACATAGCCTTATTTCAAAAAATCAACATGGTTTTGTCAATAAAAAAGTTTGTGTGACTAATTTGTTGGAGTCAATTCACATGATATCAAAAGCTTTATCTGACAAGATTTCTATGGACGTAGCTGTTATAGATTTCAGTAAAGCATTTGATATGGTTCCCCACATGAGACTAATTTACAAACTTGAGGCATATGGTTTTACTGGAAATCTCCTGAATTGGATAAAATTGTTTTTACACCAGCGTTTTCAACGAATCGTGATGGGCGATTATGTTTCCTTGTGGCTTGAAGTACTTAGTAGCGTCCCTCAAGGATCCGTATTAGGTCCAATACTTTTTATCATTTTTGTGAATGATATATCCGATATTGTTAACCATCCATTTATGCTGATGTATGCTGATGTATGCTGATGACACTAAACTGCTGGCCCGTTTAGACCACCTATTAGCTTCACAAATGCTTCAAACTGATATCTACAACATAGCCGATTAGTGTAAAACCTGGAAAATGAAACTTAATCTCGATAAATGTAAAATCATGCACATAGGTAAAAAAAACAAATTTTCTGCTACTCAATGCCAGCTAATGACAATAACACTGTCGAACTAGCATCGACTTTAGTCGAACGTGATTTAGGCATCATGATTACGCCAGACTTAAAATGGCATAACAATTCAACTTTTGCAACCAATAAAGCTAACCGTGTATTAGGCATGTTGTATCGTACTTTCAGTCACATGACTCCGCAACTACTTAAAATTCTATATACAACCTTTGTACGATCTTATCTGGAATTAGCGAGAGCAGCCAGTAATCCATCATCAAGAATAGATATTGACAAAATTGAGAAAGTACTAAGAAGAGCTACCCGTTTAATACCTTCGTACCGTCATATGTCATACAAAGATCGTCTGATTATACTAAACTTAACGTCTTTAGAAACCCGTCGCATTAGGGAAAATCTGATACAGGCCTATAAAATTATTTACAATATAGACATTTTCTTATGGAGTGAACCCCATGTCCTTCGTGTTAGGGAGTCAGATGAAATAAAAACTAGAGGACTTCATCTAAAAATGACTAGAGAATATGTTCAAAATTGCGAGCAAAGGCACCAGTTTTTTACTAATCGAATAGTGAATCATTGGAATGCATTGCCATCAGAAGTTGTATGCGCTTCATCACTTAACAGTTTCCAGGCTAAGCTTGATGCAGAAATTTCAAATAATCCGCATAAGTATCGAGATTATAACTAAAAAAAAAAAAAGGAAAAACAATAAAGTACAAACTTATACCTTATACTATATAACTTATAGTAAATTTTTATATATTGATATGAATAAAATAGTTTATGAAGTAGATAAGTCTGCCAAAACCTGCAGGTTATACAGGGAAACCTGTTGCAGCAATTTTTCTACTACTACTACTACTACTACTACTACTACTACTACTACTACTACTACTACTACTACTACTACTACTACTACTACTACTACTACTACTACTACTACTACTACTACTACTACTACTACTACTACTACTACTACTACTACTACTACTACTACTACTACTACTACTACTACTACTACTACTACTACTACTACTACTACTACTACTACTACTACTACTACTACTACTACTACTACTACTACTACTACTACTACTACTACTACTACTACTACTACTACTACTACTACTACTACTACTACTACTACTACTACTACTACTACTACTACTACTACTACTACTACTACTACTACTACTACTACTACTACTACTACTACTACTACTACTACTACTACTACTACTACTACTACTACTACTACTACTACTACTACTACTACTACTACTACTACTACTACTACTACTACTACTACTACTACTACTACTACTACTACTACTACTACTACTACTACTACTACTACTACTACTACTACTACTACTACTACTACTACTACACTACTACTACTACTACTACTACTACTACTACTACTACTACTACTACTACTACTACTACTACTACTACTACTACTACTACTACTACTACTACTACTACTACTACTACTACTACTACTACTACTACTACTACTACTACTACTACTACTACTACTACTACTACTACTACTACTACTACTACTACTACTACTACTACTACTACTACTACTACTACTACTACTACTACTACTACTACTACTACTACTACTACTACTACTACTACTACTACTACTACTACTACTACTACTACTACTACTCTACTACTACTACTACTACTACTACTACTACTACTACTACTACTACTACTACTACTACTACTACTACTACTACTACTACTACTACTACTACTACTACTACTACTACTACTACTACTACTACTACTACTACTACTACTACTACTACTACTACTACTACTACTACTACTACTACTACTACTACTACTACTACTACTACTACTACTACTACTACTACTACTACTACTACTACTACTACTACTACTACTACTACTACTACTACTACTACTACTACTACTACTACTACTACTACTACTACTACTACTACTACTACTACTACTACTACTACTACTACTACTACTACTACTACTACTACTACTACTACTACTACTACTACTACTACTACTACTACTACTACTACTACTACTACTACTACTACTACTACTACTACTACTACTACTACTACTACTACTACTACTACTACTACTAACTACTACTACTACTACTACTACTACTACTACTACTACTACTACTACTACTACTACTACTACTACTACTACTACTACTACTACTACTACTACTACTACTACTACTACTACTACTACTACTACTACTACTACTACTACTACTACTACTACTACTACTACTACTACTACTACTACTACTACTACTACTACTACTACTACTACTACTACTACTACTACTACTACTACTACTACTACTACTACTACTACTACTACTACTACTACTACTACTACTACTACTACTACTACTACTACTACTACTACTACTACTACTACTACTACTACTACTACTACTACTACTACTACTACTACTACTACTACTACTACTACTACTACTACTACTACTACTACTATGTAAATATCGCGCGTAAATATTTTTTTTATACGGTAGTCTACTTTTTAATAAACATATTTCCAGTTTTTAAGAAGTGATTTTTAAAGATTTCAATGCAACGACACGCAATTTTTGATTGAAAATTAGACCAAAAGTTATCATCTGACGTAAATCCATGTTGCTATATTGGCTTCAGAAGTAATAGTTTCTTAAAAATCATACTTTTTCACTTCGTACTTTTAGACTATCACTTCAAGAAGACGAAAAACATTTTAGTTTTTAGGTTAAGATGGGGCAAAATGAGATAGCAGGTTAAAATGATACAGATCACATTTATAACAAACCCAACCTTGCAATTTATTGTTTTAATGATTTTTTAAAGTTTAGTTGTGTTCTAAAATCATTTAGTATTACAAAATATATCTTGAGTCACTTTGAAATAAAGAAGATGGAGAGAAACACAAACATTTCATCTCCTGGCTACATAACAATTACGAAGTTCGATGCGTTGTTGTTTTAATTATTCTAAGTATTTTTTTAACTCGCGAAGGAAGAAAAATTTTTCTATTCAAAGTTTGTGCTTTATTATCATCTTTCGGCATTGCTTTATCATTCCCGTACATTGATTTTTTATTTCTATTACAAAATTGCCAGAAAATTACACGATTTGGATGCCAGTATGTTGCTGGGCAAAACGAGACGTTTTAGTTTTGTTTAATGTAAAACATAACATTAAACGTTGATGTTTTATTTAATGTAAAATATTAAATAAATTAAATAATTATAATTAAATTTTAAATAACTTTAAACATTAAATATTAAATAATTATTATTTGTAAACAGTAATATTGTCTCTAATATTTTAATGAGCAAGTTTAAATATTTACATTTAGATTTGTACAACTTATATTTTAATATTTGCTATGTTTAGTTGTTCTCCAACATGTTTTATATTTTGTTTAATAATATTTATAATATATATATATATATATATATATATATATATATATATATATATATATATATATATATATATATATATATATATATATATATATATATATATATATATATATATATATATATATATATATATATATATATATATATAAAGGTTAAGAAGGATAAAAACTATAAACAAAAAATATTTGTGGCAAATTTTCTGAGCAGAGCATGTAATTTATATTAATTTAAAAACACTCTTCAATTTGGATGAGTGACAGATAGCAAAGCATTCAAATGAGTTTGATCAAGTTTTTATTGAAGTACTAACTTTACTTTTAATAAAATTAATTTAAAAGTTTAAACACTTTTCACAGTCAGAAATCATTTGATTAGTTTCATATTTTTGTGTATTTTTATTTTTGACGCCGATTTATGGTGGCTGAAACGTGGGGACTAGTGAAAGTTCAATTTTTAGTTAATTAAATTATACAGAACTTTAAAAGTGACTTGTATACATTTAATACGATAAACTTAAAGTTATGCATTTCGGCTTAGAGAAACATTAAATATCATTCTGAACGTAAAATGATAAAGAATAATGTACTAATACTCTATGTTATCGAGAAGACAAAGTCAAAAGAAAATAACATCTGATGATATAAATACGCTAATTTAATATTATTAGTCGAATTACGTCATTTTCTAGGCTTTCCTAATTTAAAGTAGTTTCTAAGCTTTTCTATACGCTGTTTTTTTTTTTTGTAATTTTATTTACTAACAATGCATATTATGGGTTGCTTACTGCTAGTGTTAATTACTGTTGATCTAAGCTCACAATCCCGTTGGGATGCTTTCACAAACATTTTTTTCATTTCTGGAGAAAAGATTATTGCCTTGTCTTATATTTGTAAAACAAAGATAGCTATATACATATATATATAAATATATATATATATATATATATATATATATATATATATATATATATATATATATATATATATATATATATATATATATATATATATATATATATATATATGTATATATACATACATATATATATATATATATATTTATGTATATATATATATAAATATATATATATATATATATATATATATATATATATATATATATATTATATATATATAAAAATATATATATATATATATATATATGTAAATATATTTATGTATATATATATATATATATATATATTGTGTTTATAGTTGGTTTATATGTTTATATTATGTTATTTCCATGTTTTCAAAGTGCTGTGACTTGGTAAACGTGTAAAGCATGATTTGTCAACCTTGCTAGCCAAGTCATTTACTTACTGCAGAGGGTTACACAGCAGTGTTTCGTGGCAAACTGTT